TGTATGCTTTTCACAGTTTTCTTCGTCTTCAGTTGTTCTTTTCCAATGAGAAAGTGCTTTTAACAGCTTGAGCAAAACCTTAATGGTGTTATCAGGACTTATGGGATTGATATTACTTTTCTTGTGTATTAATACCCCATATTATAATTATGAATTTTTTTGGAAATGTTAAAATACATAGTATTGTTTTGTAACGTAAACACTTGTTGAATTGAATATTTTTGTAATTGTGTATTATAATTGTTTATCGATAGATGTCGCTGTTTTGATGTATTATATTTTATTGGGTTTAGTGTTTCAAGATGGACTCTTTTAAACTTATATTTTAATGGCCAGATTATTCCCAATTTAGGGTTGATACTACTGTGCACGAGGTGGCCTGTTTCTTACATTAAACCCTAAAACTTTTGACCAAGAGTGTGTAAATTTTATGTCAGCAAAAAGGTCTTTAAAACCCTAACCTAATATGCCCTAACTAATATTATCCGACGAGACTTTTCACCTAATATTGGGGATCATCAGGCCAGGTGGTATACAACAGATATAGTAGTGATATAACCTTTATTTATATCTCCATTTGCATGAACAATAGTGTGAACTAGATCAACCAAGTGAAGTGTAATTATTTCCATTTTAATTATTTAAGTCATTGACAAGTCAGAATTACGGTTAGGGTTAATAACACAATGTTGTTTATTTGTTTTATTTTTACTCGAATTAACTTTACTATAATTCAGAATAATTGGCAAACTTCGACATATATTAACGGGTTAGACTAAGCAAAGATGATATTTTAACATCATAATATCACCAGATATTTACGAAACGAAATGTGGGAGTTTTGTCATCATCTAGGAAATGATGCATATTTACCAGTAACAGAAACATCATTAATACGAATAAAAAACAGAAAATTTGTATTAGTCATAACACACTTTATGGGACATACTTTTGTGGTTTCCATGCTATGAGTATTACACAGAATTAATCAGGATCCACTAATTACAGCACTGAATAAATCATATTATGTATTTGGATAAAAAGCAACATTTCAAATTACAGTATCATTAAAACGTTGCATAATTACAATCAGTATTCTGATAAAATTTAGTTTCGATTTTACAAAGCCAGAAGAAAATTGTTAGCTTGCTGTTTCGTCAGTTCTTCTAAATGAAAGTAGAGGCAATTGAAGTTAAAAACTAATAACGAAATAAATACATAGTTGGTGTTAAAAATAAAATAAATACATAATTGGTGTTAAAAATAAAAAATACATAATTGGCGTTAAAAATAAAATAAGTAATGATGTGTTGTTAATCTTTACCATAGTTTTGACTTGAATTACAAAAATGGTAGTAATTATATTCCACTTGGTTAATCTCGTTCATACCATAACAGTGGTTGTTCATGCAATTATTGATATAAATAGACACCTACTCTGTCTTTCGTACCCCAGCCAACCTGATAAGCCCTGATACTGACGAAAGGCCTCGCCGACATCGTATGTTGCAGATATAGTGTGGTTGATATATGATTTCATATTCGTCTTTTCTTCCACTCATAAGTTATCAGAATTCTATATAAGTATATAATTTTATAGAAACTATCATTTCAACACCATACTTTCATACTACTAAAGGGGCCTGGCTTAACCTAGTGGTTAACAAGTCGGACATCGAATAGGTAGGTCCAAGGTTTGAGCCACAATATACCGCTCTGCACTTTGAGCTCTGGGGTGCGTTATAAGAGTGGTAGTCAACCCCTTCTTCGTTTCAAGGCTATACCGTAGAAAGCCCTTGTGGCGACGGATTCTGCTGACTGGCTGCTTTCACTCCGTTGAACTATATCTGAATCTTAGGGAGTTTCTGACGTTTATTTCATGGGTCGTATAATGTGTCGTTCAATCAACACCAGTGCTAAAAGCACGAACCTCTATAAGTCATATAGATATATCTATGGAACTTAACAAGTGTTAGTCAGTTTAGTTCAGTATTACAGCGTATATATATGCGATTTGTGTGATGTGCCCGGTGGAGTTCCTTCCATCAGTTGTCTTAATCAAACTGTAATCAATCGTTGCCCTTGAATTCTGTGTCATCCACTGTGAAGTTGGTTAGTCTAACGTTAAAGTGTTTATTCAGTGTTTTGGAGCTTATTATGTATTCGTATTACGTATTCCAAGGCTAGTTACCAAACTTTGTATAAAACAAAAAAAAAATCATTTCACGAATATGTGAAGAGGGATGCTTATCGTTTTCTTGTTTTCAGTTGAGTTGGTTTTGTTATGGTAGAATGGTTGTTCTTTATGATCTTCTCCTGCCTGAAAGTTCGTTGAGGTGACAACGTTTCGACTCCTGTGCTGAGTTCTCTGCTCTACCACACTGCCAAAATCATCCCTGAGAGACGTTTGTTTTCTTAGTTCTTAATAACAAAACAAATTTTAACGGTCTAATATAACACGCCGCTACAACCAGAGTTCAACAACAAAATTATTAAACTGTAACAAACATTTGGAATAAACTCGTGCCTGGCCAGGACTTGATACTAATGTTAATGAACAATAAAACATAAATATCAATATTAATTATATCATATAATGAAATCAGGAAAAAAGAACCAGAAGAGGAAAAAACCTAATTCCAAAAAACAACAACACAATATTCCAAAATCACTTTTCTTTATTAATAACAATATCAAGTGACAAGCAGCAATAATTCACTAACTATCTCCTGACTCAGTTTATGAAGCTTATGGCAAGGTATTTATTAGGTCACGAGAGTACATCTCATGTGATCACAATTTTACATAATATTTTGCTACATTAATAACCTCTGTACATAACCGCTAGGGAAGCTGGTGCCAGTTTCATAATACATAGAAAATAAACATGATCAGCTAGTAAGGTGAGTTAGCGTTTTAATGTAACTAAAAATTATAGATAAACCAAACGTTACAAGGAACAATACATGAACGATAAACAAAATCATAGACAAAAAAAAAAATGAATTCACTATTTCACAAAATTATAATGATAAACGAAAGAGATCTATACGTATCAATTGGGCTTCTGTAACTTTCTCAGCTGTATTTAAAGTGTATTCGTGTCTATGTCTGCAGTGTTTTGTAGAATTATTTGCTTCTACTTTATATTAACCTGGGAACTGAATGAATCAATTTTTTAGCGAAAAAAACACATTTGTATTTAGTAATTTATTTGTAATATCACCACGTATTTTAGTTTTTATTTAATTTTTTGATACACAAGCTTTCGACTCAATTACCTGAGCCTTCTACAGGATTTTTTAAAATATTTTTAATAGAACTGAGGATGAGCAACAGTTGAGGTTTCGTGATGGTCTGGTAATCGCATCTCTGTACTACTTTTAGATCTATTTGTTTACTAAACGTCTTTCACCTGTGGAAGGCTCAGATAATTAAGTCGAAAGCTTGTGTATTAAAATATAAACAAAATATAAGGTAACATGGTGATAGTCTAAATAAATTAATTAATACAGAAACACATTCTTTAAAACTTTGATATGTGTAGTTCAGCGGCTACGATTCTCGTGAGTCTTGCTTATAAACCAATAATAATGAACAACAGCATGTACTACGCAACTAAAGAATGTTCAGTTTGTTTAAGTTCATTATGCATAAAAAAATTCATAAATGTCAGTATTTTTTCTATATTTTTGGTAGAGTCTTATCGAGTCCTTAAGGTGTAACGGGGTGTAAAGTGGTGAGAAAATGAACCAAATCAAATCGATGGTGTAACCCTTGATTGAGAAAAAAAAAAGAGGGGAGAAGAGGGGGAAATTAACATTTTAGAAAAGTCAAAAATGTTGATTTTTAAAAAGATTTTTAGTAGAACTGAAAATGAGTGGAAAACTGACAGTTCGCGGTGATCTGGTAATCGCATCTCTGTCATAGCTTAAAACCAAAGAAATTCAAATTTTCCGGCTTTCAGCGAGATGCAAGTTTTTTGTTCCAATTTTTACCACCGATAATCACTTGACAATAATTGCTTTTGACTGAGGATAATTCAAGTTTATTTAAGAGTTTATTTTGCCTATAAAACAAGGCTAATTCAACGTATGTGCCTAGATTGAATATTTTGGACTGTTAACTCTTTGTACATAAACACTGATAACCTCTAAAAACGCAAACCCTGTTCTTTATGAAGAAGTTCTTCTTGGTTCTATACTTATTAGATTATTCGAGCTGCAACTTTTTTTTTGTTAAGCCTCTTTTCCGGTGTCTCAGATGTAATCTTGGGAAATTAGAACGCTAAAATTTGGGGTTCTATCCATTCGGAGTACACAGCACAGAAAGCTCTTTGTACAGCTGTGCACGTAAACAAACTATAAACTATTTTATTTCAGTACTGCGTAATCTTCATGAAAACCACACGATTACTTTTAAACCCTGTACTATTATAAAAAATAAAGACTACATAAACCAAATTATTACCAATATTTTATGTAATGTCTTACAGATGTATTCGTTCTATATTCTTTTTAAAAGTATAAATAAAGTCTTCGCGGACTGCCATATCCTGGTTATTAGGGCACTCGACTCGCAGATCGCGGGTTCAAAACCCGTTGCCCAACATTCTCGCCCTTTCAACCGTGGGGATATTATAACGTTACGGTCAATCCCACTTTTCGTTGGTAAAAGAGTAGCCCAAGAGTGAGTTGATGGCGAGTGATGTTGACTAGCTGCCTTTCTTCTAGTCAATCCCACTTTTCGTTGGTAAAAGAGTAGCCCAAGAGTGAGTTGACGGTGAGTGATGTTGACTAGCTGCCTTTCTTCTAGTCTATCCCACTTTTCGTTGGTAAAAGAGTAGCCCAAGAGTGAGTTGACGGTGAGTGATGTTGACTAGCTGCCTTTCTTCTAGTCTATCGGTTCTAAGCTAGCGAAGATCTACAAAACAAACATGTTTTCTGTTAATGCCATAAACAAACATACAAATGTATTTTGTTGTTGATTTTTTTTTTCAGGCGCCACGTATGTTTGCACAACAAAGTTGTTACGAGACCAGTAAAGCACGTGGATTCCTACTGTAAACCTATCTACAAGACTTATAGGCACTTATGTGAGAAAAAAGAGTACCGTTTTTGTACTTCGTACAAGTAAGTCACACAAGTGGTTAATTGAATAATATATGCCCTCAAAAGGTGCAGCCTCAGCAAAATATAATCATTGGCATTCCATTGTGCTTACAAAAACCTATTAAAGTTAGCTATTTCCATTGTGCTTACAAAACCTGTTAAAGATAGCAATTTCCATCATATCTTCTTTTGTTATTTAAATTTCAAGTGTTTTGAAAGTGTATCACAGTTCTTGAGCTATAAATGTAATATATTTTACTCTGATGTTAAAAAAGGAAATGGTTCATTACACCACATTTCCATGAGAATTGCTTTCAAAATAGAACTTTAAGGAAGACTCTGAATAGAGAAACATTTCTGAATCCTATAGTTGTATTATTAATTAAAAAACAACAACAAGTCTTTGTGGAATGAGCATTGTTAACTACAAGAAGTATCCAAGGTTCATCTGAAGAAGGAGTCAGTTTTAGTTAGAGAGATGGTTGGTAAACTTTTGGATTATAGGGGCTTGATTTAAAAAATGATGCAATCTCGTGCATGCCCACAGAAACATGATGGATTTGTTTCATACATCTTGTTAAAAATCGAGATCACAGAAGTTGAAGAACACAATGGAGTCTTTTAGTTTTATAGTAATTTGTTATAAGTTGTTGTTGTTTTTTTTGGTGATGGGGCTCTAGTCCTGTGGTTAAGTGTTTTGGAGCCGTGCTTCGAGTTATGTAGTAATATTCCTAATAAGCCTTTATAGATTTTATTTTTTACAGAGTGGTGTACGAAAGAGCTTATCGGTCAGTTTATAAGATCGCTACCCAGACTGAGAGAATTTATGCTTGTTGTCCAGGGTGGACCCAAATATCGCCAGCTTCTCATGGATGTATGAAAGGTAGGGCAAGAAACTACCAAAATTATATATTTTAATAATTTTGGTATGTATGTGCATATATATATATGTGTACAGTTTTCGACGAGAGTAGTTTGAAATCTTTCTGTTACTATCCATCTAAATGTTTATAATCCTCTGAACAGATAAATATTAGGTTTAAGAAATATAAAAGAGGATATTAAAACAATAATCTTAACACCTTTTATAGTGCTCAGTTGTTTATCTCATTATTTTTACGTTTAGCTCTTTGCACTCGACCCTGTCGCAATTCCGGAAAATGCACTAAGCCAGGCTATTGCTCGTGCCCTAAAGGTTGGACAGGCACATTTTGTGAAATAGGTGAGTTGAGGGGTGAAAGGTAAAACGAAATACCAAAAACACTTTTAAAGAGTCGACATTTCTGGAGTGGGATTAAAATCAGATACTAAAGAAAAGCCAGAAAATCCCATCAATATGAATACATCTGGTTTTTCATTAAATTTGTATAATTTAATAAAATGAGACATTCCTACGGAAGATATTTTTAAAGCTATACAGTAAGTGAAATCAACATAAAGTCGGGAAAATTTTGATAGGAGAAAACACTTACGTAATATCTTGAAAAAAATGGGCCTCTGAAGAGTTTGAAAATTTGTTAATTAACCAATAAAAAACTGAATAAGTTTGAGATTTTTCATCTTCATGTAACTCTTGACTTTTATTGACCAGTAGTCTATGAATTTTCTTGACTTAATAAAATGTAGAACTTCTTAAAACGTTTCATATTTTTGTAGCAATTTTCACAAATATTTTCAGATAGACAAATATTAATTGTATGCTACTCTGAAATGACAGAAATTACGTACAAATAAATACCAAATAAAGAAATATTTTAAGGCAAGGTTTCCCAAACTTTTATCGTCCACACCTTTAATAATTACGATCTCTTGCACGCCCCCTCTTTTTTAAATGAGTGAAAGAGTGAATTAAGTGACGAGATACACATTAAAATGTTATATATATCTTGTAGTAATTACTTATTATTTTCATTAATGAAAAATATATTAAAACGCCCCTCCCCAAGAGATCATTTTTGCCCCCCTCGTGGAAGCGCGTCACATACTTTGAGAAAACGTTGGATTATGGAGTGAATATTAGGCTTAGCAGAGATCACTGTGGGTTTCTTGCAGATGTTAACGAGTGTGAACAAGATGAAAACGTATGTGATCACCAGTGTATCAACACCCTTGGTAGTTACCGCTGTGGCTGTCATAAAGGATTCAAACTACAGTCGGATGGCAGATCCTGCAAAAGTGAGAACATATTTGAATATGTTTGTAATTACATAATGGCATCGTATGAAATAATTATAATATTTTTTACTTTTTGGAACAAACTTAAAGCTTTAGTCTAATATGTTAATTTACCAAGTTTTATTTTAATTACAACATTTTTTAACAATATGTAAATTAGTAAAGAAACGAACATTACGTCTAATGGTAGCAGCAAAATAATTTTGCACTCAGAGCGATATTTTTATTTAATTAATTATACACATCCCAAAGTTACTAAAACAAATGAACCACATTTTATTCTGTCTCTAAGAGTGTTACGGGTAGTTTAGTATATCTTTACGAATGTTGTATTACCCCACCTCTCAAGGTGACGCTTATTTGGATCAAATGAATCAAAATTTATGCTGTCTTATGTCACTGCCCCATTGATTGATGAGCCCATAAGGTGATACATATGTTTATTGTTCAGGTGTTTTCGTGGTTGATGAGCCCCATAAGGTGATACATATGTTTATTGTTCAGGTGTTTTCGTGGTTGATGAGCCCCATAAGGTGGTACATATGTTTATTGTTCAGGTGTTTTCGTGATTGATGAGCCCCATAAGGTGATACATATGTTTATTGTTCAGGTGTTTTCGTGATTGTTGAGCCCCATAAGGTGATATATATGTTTATTGTTCAGGTATTTTCGTGATTGATGAGACCCATAAGGTGGTACATATGTTTATTGTCCAGGTGTTTTCGTGGTTGATGAGCCCCATAAGGTGATACATATGTTTATTGTTCAGGTGTTTTCGTGATTGTTGAGCCCCATAAGGTGGCACATATATTTATTGTTCAGGTGTTTTCGTGATTGTTGAGCCCCATAAGGTGGCACATATGTTTATTGTTCAGGTATTTTCGTGATTGTTGAGCCCCATAAGGTGATACATATGTTTATTGTTCAGGTGTTTTCGTGATTGTTGAGTCCCATAAGGTGATACATATGTTTATTGTTCAGGTGTTTTCGTGATTGTTGAGTCCCATAAGGTGATACATATGTTTATTGTTCAGGTGTTTTCATGATTGATGAGCCCCATAAGGTGATATATATGTTTATTGTTCAGGTGTTTTCATGATTGATGAGCCCCATAAGGTGATATATATGTTTATTGTTCAGGTGTTTTCATGATTGATGAGCCCCATAAGGTGGCACATATGTTTATTGTTCGGGTATTTTCGTGATTGATGAGCCCCATAAGGTGGCACATGTGTTTATTGTTCGGGTATTTTCGTGATTGATGAGCCCCATAAGGTAGCACATGTGTTTATTGTTCGGGTATTTTCGTGATTGATGAGCCCCATAAGGTAGCACATGTGTTTATTGTTCGGGTATTTTCGTGATTGATGAGCCCCATAAGGTGGCACACGTGTTTATTGTTCGGGTATTTTCGTGATTGATGGCGAAATTAGCTGTAAGTGTAAAGATAAACAGCTTCAGATGTTCTCTCGTTATGAAAGAATCTCAATGTTTGCGTAAAAACGAAACTGTACTATTTCATTTATAAAATTTGCATATTTTTATAAGCTATAATTTAAGAAACCTTTTCTTGCATTATTGTAGATGCACTAAAAGTAATGATTAAAATAATGAATTATAATGACTGGTTCTACTTATCCACTTTCTCATTCTTCCTCCGTGTTTATAAGTCATTTTATGAATCTAGTGTTTAACGTATTAGACATGGATTGGGAATTGAAAGTGTACTTCTGATATCCAAACAGCAGAGTTCAGTTTCTAAGCTTTTCAATCGTTTATGCGCGTTATCTTCCTCTATGTTTCTTACTGTTATTAACAATTCTCTTCAAGTACTGTTTATTTTATGCGACACACAAAGATGCACAATGGGCTATCTGTACTGTGCTCACTACAGTAAATTTAACGTTACAAGCCCTCGAACTTACAACTGAATCACTGGAGGTTGCTGTTTTGATATAACCATCATATCTATTTTTCTTCTTTATTTTGGATATCGGAGATTCTTTTATAAATGTGTAATGATAAACAACCCTTTCTTGAACTTAAATAATATAACGCGATCATAAACCCTGTCGTTTTCTTTCCCTAGTAAGTTTGAATCGTGTTCCTGAATATCAAGAATTTCTGCAAGTATACGAAGAACTGACGAAAAAGGTCATGAAAATGGAAAAGGTCAATGTTTTGGTTGATTTAAGAAATTAAGTTGGTTCTTTACATTGTGGAAAAAATAGTAAAATTTTCAGTGTGTTCTGTTTCCGTTCAGATTTCTTGACATTTAACCCATAAATAACTGACTTGTTCATTATCGGTGGGAGTTCACATGTGACAACAAATAAAATTATTTTGTGTGTTTGTCTATTTAACACTCAACCTAAAGATCTGAACCAGAAAATGTGTGAAATCTCTAATTTACTATGTAAAATACCTAGAGATCCCTAGAAGTAATTAGTGGGATTAATTACAACATCTTTGGATTTCATGGACTCACAAAGAACTTGATGCATAATTGGTTTAGTAACATGTAATTCTAGGATTCTTTAAACAAATTACCGCTGTGGTGCATAATTGGTTTAGTAACATGTAATTCTAGGGTTCTTTAAACAAATTACCGCTGTGGTGCATAATTGGTTTAGTAACATGTAATTCTAGGATTCTTTAAACAAATTACCGTTGTGGTGCATAATTGGTTTAGTAACATGTAATTCTAGGGTTCTTTAAACAAATTACCGTTGTGGTGTATAATTGGTTTAGTAACATGTAATTCTAGGATTCTTTAAACAAATTACCGTTGTGGTGTATAATTGGTTTAGTAACATGTAATTCTAGGGTTCTTTAAACAAATTACCGCTGTGGTGCATAATTGGTTTAGTAACATGTAATTCTAGGGTTCTTTAAACAAATTACCGCTGTGGTGTATAATTGTTTTAGTAACATGTAATTCTAAGGTTCATTAAAAAATTACCGTAGTTGTTCATATTTGATTTAGTAACATGTAATTATAGAATTAATTAAAAATTACCGTAGTAATGCATATTCTTGCACTTGTATGTTGAATATCCGTGCACTGAGTTGTAGTCTTAAAACTTAAATTTTGTTTTATTATTCTCAGTTTAATTTTTCACTGTTAACGAAACAGAAACGAATGTTCAAACACCTGCCTTTTTTTATATCTAGAATATTTTATATACTTATTCATTTGGATACTCGGACACTTGTCATATTCTTTGACCACTTTAGGAACATTCTACGCTGGGTTACTTTAAGGGAAAATACACACATGTGATCAGCTACCCTCGCTAACAATGCACGATACGTATTGTCTGCTTGGTTTGTTTGTGGCCTGGCATGCGATGGACTGGTGCCAATAGCGCTCGAATCGCAATCTGAGGTTCGCGGACTCTAATCCCCGTCACCGAACATGCTTCCCCTTTCAGCCATGGGAGCGTTATAATGTTTAGTCAATCCTACTATTCGTTGGTAAAAAAGACTATCCTAAGATTTGGTAGTGGGTGGTGTTGACTTGCTGCCTTCCCTCTAGTCTATCACAGCTAAATTAGGGACGGCTAATGCACATATCCCTCGCGTAGCTTTGCGCAAAATTTACAAAAAAAACAACAAACCAATGGCTTGTTTGTTTTAGCATAAAGCTACACAAGGGCTATCTGCGCTCTGTCCACTGCGGAGAATGGAACCCCAGTCTTTTGTGTTGTAAGTCCGTAAACTTACCGCATGGTGTATATTTATGCATGTGTGTTAAAATTTAACGTTAGTAACTTATGATTTTTGTTTTAAATTTTCAGTCTATTTCATAAAGTTTTCATTACATAGTGAGTACATATTCCACTATCATATTACTTACAAGACTATTGAGTTTCACTGTTTGTATTGTTAACGTATAAATTAGTAAAAGGTACGTTAGAAAATTTGAAAACATTATTGCAATACAGTTTGTTCACTAATGTTTACTCAAGGTCATAAAGTTTCCACTAAAGAATACCACAAAACATGTAGAGTAAAAATTCAAAACATACCAATAAATCTCAAAACCATAAATTCTGTTCTAATGCAGTGTATTCTAATCATCCGCTGGCGCTACAATAGAACCCCAAACGACACTAACTAATCCAAATACAGTGATAACTATCCGTTAGGAAACAAAACTTTTCCTATATTTTCCTGTCTGATTTCAAACTTTGCTTCTCGAGAACGTTTATATAAAAATCACAGTTTTTTTTGTTTTTTTTACGACTATGTACAGATACCGCTATAATACTATATGCTTAAGAAGTGACATATTCACGCCTGCTTAGTCGCGGGATCGAAACCCGTCACAGAACATGCTCACTACTTTCTATCTAGTCTGTAACTTCAAAATTAGCGAATGCTCGAGTAGCTTTGTGCGAAATTCAACAAACAAACAACTGACATATTGCACTATAATGCTTTTTAAAAAATTTAATCCTTTACTTTACTGGCTTCAGATGGCGCTCATAGAAAAACAAGGTCCACATTTCAGATTGCTTCTTACTTGCATTTGTGTATTCTATGTTTATCGTGAATAATTGTACCGTTCCGGTACGTTTCACAAACGTATGTTCTAAGGAACAAAATAAATATGAATGACAAATAAAATATATTAATTTAGTATGGATTCTTAAAATGATAATTATAAAACGAATTAGTTGAATAAGTTTTCAGAAATACCAAATTTACTCTTTTCTTTATTCTACTATTGTAATGTATTTTTATTGAACAAGATACATCCTGTTGTGTTTTGAACTGTTATTTTGATATGTAAAAGTAAAATATTTCAAGAAACAATTATACCCATTTAAATCAGCTGGTGGTGCGTGAAGGTAGACGTCAGAAAGGAGTTACTGACATATTACGATGATTTAATATTGGTTCTTTCTCGACATTCTTGTTTTAACTCAATTTCAATGAGGCTATAATTTAGTCATGTTTATTCTAGATTCAAGAAAAACGAAACTTTACAAGACTTGAGATTCAACTGGAAAGCCTTGCAAACAAAATCTCGTCTTTACAGAAGGAGTCTCTTTCAGTTTCCACGACAACTCCTCCTTCCCTAAACGACAGACCTAATAGCGTTGGCGAAAATTATCTGTACGGATCGCCGTGGGATCGGATCAGTTCTCTCAGTGAACAGATCTCAATACTGGAGGAAAGGCTAGAGGGGTGTAAGTAAAGAGCACTGTGGATGTACATAAGAAATATCTGTACAGATCAACATTGTTAATGTACGTAGGAAATATCTGTACAGATCAACATTGTTAATGTACGTAGGAAAGAATTGTACACATCAGCATTGTTAATGTACGTAGGAAACAATTGTACACATCAGCATTGTTAATGTACGTAGGAAACAATTGTACACATCAGCATTGTTAATGTACGTAGGAAACAATTGTACACATCAGCATTGTTAATGTACGTAGGAAACAATTGTACACATCAGCATTGTTAATGTACGTAGGAAACAATTGTACACATCAGCATTGTTAATGTACGTAGGAAAGAATTATACACATCAGCATTGTTAATGTACGTAGGAAGGAATTATACACATCAACATTGTTAATGTACCTAGGAAAGAATTATACACATCAACATTGTTAATGTACCTAGGAAAGAATTATACACATCAGCATTGTTAATGTACGTAGGAAAGAATTATACACATCAGCATTGTTAATGTACGTAGGAAAGAATTATACACATCAGCATTGTTAATGTACGTAGGAAAGAATTATACACATCAGCATTATAATGTACGTGGGAAACAATCGTACACATCAACAATGTTGATGTACGTGGGAAACAATCGTACACATCAACAATGTTGATGTACGTGGGAAACAATCGTACACATCAACAATGTTGATGTACGTGGGAAACAATCGTACACATCAACAATGTTGATGTACGTGGGAAACAATCGTACACATCAACAATGTTGATGTACGTGGGAAACAATCGTACACATCAACGATGTTGATGTACGTGGGAAACAACTGGCCTACTTGTTAATACAGAATGTCATTGTATGAATAGCTCTGCTTTGAATAATTTTGTTTTTAAAAATTCGTGAAAGGTTTTTCCATAAAACACTTTAGAAATGGAAAATATTATTGCCTGTATATTACTGAAAGTTTGTGATATTTGAAAAATTATATTTTCTATAATACAAATCTTGACGTAAAACATATGAACTTCCTGTATTAACCGATTTTCATAATATTCTTTTTAATTTTAGCACATTTCGTTCACTTATCGAGATTTGTTCTTGACACTCAGGTACTTGCAAACAACAACGAAGACCACCCCAATGAGCATGCGTCATGGTTTCAGTGTCTTAATTGAAGTGAACTTCTACTATTAAAAGTCACAACAGGTTTTTTATTCTTACAACAAACGAACCCTTGCTGTTTTCGTGATGGATGTTTAATACAGTGTACTTTCTGAAGGTGGACAAAATAGCATTACTACGTTCCTTACCCCCCCAAACCCCCAAAAATTCCAAGTATGTTTTTCTTGAATTACGAATTAAAGTGAAATGTTTTATGAGGGGTGTGAATTGTTATGGAAACCATCTTTGTTGTCGTCTCATTTCTTATTAAGTACGTATATTTAAACTAAATAAATATTACAATACCATTACTGAATCGTTTCCAATAAGTGAAATGAAACGAAAACTTGATTTACTCCACTTTTCAAACTGCAAATCGACGGATTTGTGTTGCCATGAATGTATGTGTTTTGTGTTACGGATATTTTTTGCTATAAGTACATGTTGGTGTTATATTTTAACGAATTATATATATTTTGTTTAAATTGTGAAACCTGAATTTCATAAACGTAATCTGAAGCTCTCGCAGAAAGCGATTTACTATGACAGTTACAACCAGAACACCCCTTTTTGATCGGTCCACCGGTAGGGGCAGTGGTAAGTTTACAGATTTACAACGCTAAAATCCGGGGTTCGATTCCCTGCGGTGGACACAGCAGATAGCACAACGTGTCTTTGCTTTAAAACAAAACAAACCTTTTTGATCGAGTCGCACCTAGTGACTAAAAACGATAAAATTAGTGACTCGTGTGTTTGGAAGCTCCAGTTTAAAACTCAATCTATATAAGTGTTACCGAAATAACTGAATGCGCTCTAATGGATACATATATATATAAATTAAAACAGAACATTGTGAGAATAAACACGTTAAAAGCTAGGTGATGTTTCATCCGAACTTCCTTGAACATAAAGTTCTCTGGATTTTGGGAAACATTCCTTGGAAAATAGATTGAGATTTCAAAATTGTATAAGTGCTCTCAAAGGGGAGAACAGGTAATCAGAGAATTTATGTTTACAGGGAGGTAAGGAAAACTTTCGGCCCTTAGCTAGTGCACTTTTACAGGGTTCACTGAGTACAACATCACTAAAATTAAAAATTACCTTGTTGGGATCAATAGTATTGGTTTTTTATGTGGAATTAATTTATTTAGTTTAAAATTCTGCTTGTGTTCCAGGCGGATTTCAGTTTTTGTGTTAATATTATTAATCAGTTAAGCAGGTGGTTGAAGTTCAACAATGATACGTTATTTTTTAGTTCGTTCTTCGCTGATTCATGTTGAATGCAAGACTGTTTCTTCTTCATCTTCAATTCTTCTTCTAAAAGACGACGTTGACAGGAAAAATAGGCAGGATATTTTTGTGGATAACGCTTTGTAGTTTTAAATTAGAGGAATTTGGGGATAACTTGATGGTGGTTGCAAGTTGTTAAGAATTAAAAAAATGTTCAGATCCACCAGACTCCACAATTCGCACACATAGTGAAAACACTAACCACTCCGTCTTGATTATGAAATTCAAAGTCATCTCATCTGGATCATCCAATATTGAACTTTTAATTAAAGAAAGTTTATCTATTATAAGTGAACTCTCAACTTTAAATATTAACAACTTCACTACAGTTAACTCTGTTCTAAATAACTTCCATTATTCTATTCTTTGTTTATTTTATATATTTCATTCTTATATTCTGCATTTTGATTACTTTTTATAAAATGTTTAAACTTTATATTGTTTGTTTGTTTTATTTGTAATTAAGCACAAAGCATACCGCTGTGCCACTGGGGGGGGGGCAAACTTTATAAATTTATGTACCTAATAATTTATGATGTTCAGTATAGCTTGCTGATAATGGAATATGTATATTCCGAAACGTTCAAGAATTAAATGTTCATTGTTGCTGCCGTCGTTTTGTTGTTCATTATTGAACTTCGAAACTCTTCGGCTATTTCGTTCGCTCAAAAAAATTGACCTCAAATTATCAGTCATTCTGAAACGCCCCAGTGACACAGCGGTATGTCTGCAGATTTACAACGCTAGAAACCGCGTTTCGATACCCGTGTTGGACAGAGCACAGATAGCCCATTCTGTAGCTTTCTGTTTAACTACAAACAAACATTCTGAAACAAAACACTTCTCTCGAGGGTGTAAAATCTCTATCGTTATAGTTAAATTACAGGTTTTAGGTAATCATTTTTACATATTAAGGATAATATGATTATTTTAATAGAAAACCGTTTACTTAACTAATTGCCAAGGCTAGCAGAAATAAGTTGTGTGATACTTATTTAACCATACTTATTTAACCACTTCGACAGTCAACCTATAAACTTTTAGGGTGCTTATGTGACTATTGGAAATTTGATAATGCTTCGTTGAAGCCCGTCCGTGTGCCCATAATAAGCTATCGAACATTTGTTGTTATAGTTATAGCTGCCCCCCCCCAGTGGCACAGCGGTATATCTGCGGACTTACAACGCTAGAATCCGGGTTTCGATACCCGTGGTGGGCAGAGCACAGATAGCCCATTGTGTAGCTTTGTGCTTAATTACAAACAAACAACAACAACAAGTATGCTTAATTACAAACAAACAACAACAACAAGTATGCTTAATTTGATCCTAATGTTTTGTTGATATATTAGAAAGATAATATTTGAATTTTGACTTCAGTCTGTCTGTATACTCGTATACTCCTTGGAAAGCCATATAAACATTTTCAAATATTTATATGAATATAAATACTTCTCGTACAACGAAAACAAAAGCTCTGAACTGTCTGACTGAGCATCTGAACTTTTTGAATGCTAAAAGAAACAGAAAATGACGAGGGTTTATCTGATCTTGTGGACTTCTTAGAATTGTGGGCAGATATTGAAGAGTGTCGAGTTTACGTACAATTATCTAGGATAGAGAAACAGCAGCTGTTTTACTGGCTGTCAAGGAAACAATGACCAGGTTAAAACTATTGAGTGGTTAATTCTATATTCTTATATCTTAGGTTAAACACAATCTGTCGTGTTTGTTTAAACTTCTTAATATTTTTGGACTGTCAAACAGGAACTTTTTAATGTTATCCATCTAGCCAACTAACTAACAAACAGAATTATGTCTAATTTTAGCTGTGTTTTTGGACCTCTTGAATTTCGTAACGGACATTGTTGAGTTTGTACCTAATTCTAAATATCTCTTGGTCTGCTAAACAGAGGCTGTCCAGTATTTAGATATATATCAGGACATTTCTTGGTCTGCTAGATAGAAACTGCCCAGTATTTAGATGTATATCAGGGCATCCCTTGGTCTGCTAGACAGAAACTGTTCAATATTTAGATGTATATCAGGACATCCCTTGGTCTGATAGACGGAAACTGTGCAGTATTTAGATGTATATCAGGGCATCCCTTGGTCTGATAGACGGAAACTGTGCAGTATTTAGATGTATATCAGGGCATTTCTTGGTCTGCTAGATAGAAACTGCCCAGTATTTAGATATATATCAGGGCATCCCTTGGTCTGCTAGACAGAAACTGTTCAATATTTAGATATATATCAGGACATATCTTGGTCTGCTAGACAAACTGTTCAATATTTAGATATATATCAGGACATCTCTTGGTCTGCTAGACAGAAACTGTCTGGTATTTAGATTATATCAGGGCATCTCTTGGTCTGCTAGACAGAAACTGTTCAGTATTTAGATATATATCAGGGCATCTCTTGATCTTCTAGACACAAACTGTCCAGTATTTAAATATATATCAGGGCATCTCATGATCTGCTAGACACAAACTGTCCAGTATTTAAATATATATCATAACATCTTTTGGTCTGCTAGATAGAGGCTGTCCAGTATTTAGATATATATCAGGACATCTCTTGGTCTGCTAGACAGAAACTGTTCAATATTTAGATGTATATCAGGGCATCTCTTGGTCTGCTAGATAGAAACTGTCCAGTATTTAAATATATATCATAACATCTCTTGGTCTGTTAGACAGAAACTGTTCAATATTTAGATACATATATATCAGGGCATCTCTTGGTCTACTAGACAGAAACTGTTCAGTATTTAGATATATATCAGGGCATCTCTTGGTCTGCTAGACAGAAACTATTCAATATTTAGATACATATATATCAGGGCATCTCTTGGTATACTGGACAGAAACTATTCAATATTTAGATACATATATATCAGGGCATCTCTTGGTCTGCTAGACAGAAACTGTTCAAAATTTAGATATATATCAGGGTATCTCTTGGTCTGCTAGACAGAAACTGTTCAATATTTAGATATATATCAGGACATGTCTATGCGCAAAATGTTCAGTATTTGGATAAGTATCAAGAAGTCTGAGACAGAAACTATCAAGTACATTATGAAAATCAAAGAACCTCTTGCATTACTAGACAAGAAGATCTCGTACTAGGACCACTTGGGCTGTGACAGATGTCAAGTATTGAAACAGCAGAAAGGAAATTTCAAGTATCCAGCTCTTGGAAAAGTTGAGTACTTCTGCCGTAATTATTCTTATACACCTCCATCTTGTTGTCATGGGCGTTAAGAAGCTCCTCTCTGTATTTAAAGTAAAACATATGGTACCATACTAATACTCGCAAAAAGAACTATAAAAATGTACGTTCATGTTTTTTGAGAATTGTGACGATTCATTGAAAAAATGACAAAGAATCTTAACTCTAGGAACAACCGTTTTTGTAAAACAAAATATTGATTTCCTTCTTTCAATTTTGTTCTTTTCTGAAAGTTTCTAAGGGGGATTCATTAGTTAACATGTCTGTATTGTGAAAATGTTTTTTACATATATATTGTTTGAATAAGAGTTATATGTTCATCCACTTTAATCTTTTGTTTAAACGCATGGTTACAAAATGAACTACCACTCACAGGGATCGAACACTTAATTTTAACATTATAAGTCCTCAAACTAATCGCTGAGCCACCGAGAGCACACCATTTCAAAGGATCAGAAAAAAAAATATCGACTTTCATAACGTGTGCGTTATTGTGTGGGCTTACGTTATCCGTCCTGTTTGCTTTTTATTTTATTTTTATGTTAGTTTAATTCTTACTTAACAGAAAAATGAGGCAGTGTTGCATTCTTTATGACAATACGAAAGTGTTAGCAATGTAGTTGTAATAAAATGTATTTTTGCTATATTGTTTCCAATCAATAGAAAATTAAATGTTTCTCGAAAGAATG